TGGCTCAAAAGAGGGAGTGGACCCTGGAGGGTCAGCCCCTGAGTCACCCCCACAAGGCCGCCCCCACCCCACCCCAGCCAGGCCGTTCTTGTTAATGTCTCAGCCCAAGAGCAGGTGAGACGGAAAAGACTGGGGTGGTGGTGGTGGATTTTGTCCCTTCAGCCCTTAAACGCCGGTGAGCCCTTGGGCAAAAGAAGCCCATGGTAGAAACACAGCATGCCTCATGGGGTGGGGAGTCCCTCTGGAATCCAGGGCACCGGCTGGATTCAGCTCACATACCTTGGGGGAGGGGGGTGCCAGCCCCAGGAGGTGGCGTCTGGCCACCTACTCTCAGGGTGATGGTGCAGGGAGTGTCCAGCTTTTCTGGGCAAACGTCTCCCCTCCCTGTGGCCAAGCCGCCCTCTGCTCTCCTGTCTGAGGGCTCCCAAACAGCAGGGGCCATGGGCCACTCTGCCCCTGAGACCCCCCCCGGGGCAAAAACGGACACGGGTTGGCCAAGATGCATCCAGGCTAAGCCACATGTACAGTTCTAAGGAAAGGAGGTTTGCAATTTAAACAGAACCGCTGCCGCCCAGGTGCTGAAAGGCCACCCCAAGGACCTTGAGCCCTCCTCCTGGTCCCTCACAACACTCCGGAGCTGGACACGGAGGATACGCCTCAGGATACTGCCCACTGCAGAAGAGACCATGCAGCCACCCTAGCTAATTCTGGCCCCTCTGGCCCCCATGACTGCTTTGTACGTGACTCTGAGCAGCCGCAGGATGAGGCCTCTACCTCCAGTACACAAAGTCACTCTGTAGCTAGTGTGAGTGATAAAGGACAGGGGGTGGGGGTGGGGGCAGAGGAGAGAATCTGGCTCTTCCTGAAAGACCCATGGTGCTCTCTCTCTCTCTCTCAGATGCTCTCCGAATCAACCCACAGGATTCGTCTTCCGTGGAGGCTGACCTTCGGTGGCAGCCGGCACTTCCAGGGAGCAGCCTCCACCAGACAGACCTGCTTGCAACGTATTCCGTGCATTTCTTTGCTGCTTTTCAAGATGGCTTTCTCTCTTAGAGTTGCCAACCCCAAGGGATCGCCACTGACAATTAGGTAACTCCCCGCCCCCACTAGATCAAGGCAGCCCAGCTGATTTTACGAAATCTGAAAAGGCCAAAGGTCAACGGCCCAGGCCTCCTGCCCTTTCCTGCTTGAGAGGGCGTTACAGGCATTAGGCTGGTTTATTCATCTAATTGGATGCCAGCATTCATGGTTCGGTGGTCTGCTTAACCAAGCAGTTCCAGATTTCACACAGAAGACCGAATGAACAGGTAAATTGAAAACCTAGGTAGCAAACTTTAACTTGTACTAAACGGAGCCTCCGGATGGTCCCCTGCAAGCGAGCAGAGAAAGTCCAGAGAAAGAAGCCTGGTGCCTGAGAAGCAGCCGGCTTCCATCGCTGTCAGAGCAGCCGGCCGTGGAGGCCCCCCCCCTTGGGCGCGCTCTCTCCCTCTCCCTCTCAGCCAAGCCATGGCGCGCTTCCTCTCTGAGCTGGTGAGTCCCCCTTTGCTCCTCTAGAAGCGGGTCCCTCACTTCCCTAAAACAGCAAAGAAGCCTCGCGGGGGGGGAAGCCTTCGAGAGGAGCCCTGGTTGGTTTGGCACAAGCAGCTGCGGAGGGCTGACCCTCTGCCTTTCCCGGCTGGGCAGTCCTTTAAATGCCTGGCTGGGTTGGGGGGGTGGCGGGGGGGGGAGAGAGATGGAAATGCAAAACATGGGCGATTGTTTCAGTTGTGATTGTTTAACAAGCCCTGGCCGGGGGGGGGGGGGGAGAAGGGATGTGGGCATCCTTCAGTCTCAAGAGACCATGGTCAATACCCAACCTGTCTGAAGAGATTCACCTGTGGAGGATGGTCTCTTTGATTAACACACAAGCCAATCCTGGAAAGGGTATAATTTTCCCCCAGATCTGAAATCGTCCCTAAGAACAAGGATTTGTTTTAATTCTTCAGTTGCAAAAAAGCCATTTAAAAAGCTCTTTAAAGCATGAATATTGCTAAGTGAGGCAAACAGCAGCAAAACCCATTCAGAAAGGGGCCGCTTGGGACACGCAGGCCCCCTTGAAGGGTTTTGCCCCGCATCTGTCTACCTCCTCCCGACCCCTGCATTCTCCCCGTGTGCCCCATGGGTCTTAGAGGGCCAGCGGTCCGGATTTGGGCCACCCTTCAGACCGGCTCTTGTGACTAAAGGACCAGCCCCTCCCTGGGGCCAAAGAGACCCTCCCTGGGGCCTCTCTTCCAGGTGGAGGACGGCTCCAGGTGCAAAGGAAGACAACGGACTGCCTACCTTCGTGTGCGTGTCTGGGGAATCCTCCTATTGGGGATGGCCGCAGGTAGCATCCAAGAGGCCTAGAACGAAAAGTCACCGCCGAATCCCGGTAACACCCTCACCCCCCGGTTTTTGAAAGCCGAAAAGGTCCGTCCGGGCCCCCTTCCGCCTTCCACCCGGCTCAATTCGAAGTGGCTCCGGATCTGGCCCCTAGGGGGCAGCAGACACCAGGCGGAGGCCGTGTCGGCCGCGGGCGCGCAGGTGTCCCGGGATCGTCCCCCGCTCCCTCCAGCCTCTCCAGAGCGCGGCCGGGGCTTCAGGGGATCCCCGAAAAGTCTGCCGCTTCCCCACGAATGGAACCGCTCTTTGCGGTACTCTTCCAGCGGAAGGGTACCCAAAGTCAGCTTCCCCCCCCCCGGTCTCCTTGCCCCCCTCAAGGCCCTCCTGGATGTTTGTTAGATGGGG